GAATATTTTGTCATTTTTGGTAAAAAGTGATATTTTCGACTTCTTGTTAAAAACCGCAAGTCCAATTGCTTTGATATTACATATATAGGTACTACATGTGGACCTTCTCAGATTTGTTCATTTTGTGATGATATCCTCAATTCTCTAATTTTGGTGAATATTTTTGTAATTTTTGGTAAAAAGTGATATTTTCGACTTCTTGTTAAAAACCACAAGTCCGATTGCTTTGATATTACATATATAGGTACTACATGTGGACCTTTCTCAGATTTATTCATTTTGTGATGATATCCTCAATTCTCTAATTTTGGTGAATATTTTTGTAATTTTTGGTAAAAAGTGATATTTTCGACTTCTTATTAAAAACCACAAGTCCGATTGCTTTGATATTACATATATAGGTACTACATGTGGACCTCTCTCAGATTTGTTCAATTTGTGATGATGTCTTCAATTCTCTAATTTTCGTGAATATTTTTGTAATTTTTGGTAAAAAGTGATATTTTCGACTTCTTGTTAAAAACCAATAGTTCAATTGCTTTGATATTACATATTTAGATACTACATGTAGACCTTTCTCAGATTTGTTCATTTCGTGATGATATCTTGGATTCTATAATTTTGGTGAATATTTTTGTCATATTTGGTAAAAAGTGATATTTTCGACTTCTTGTTAAAAACCGAAAAGTTCAATTGCTTTGATATTATGTTCATTTCGTGATGATATCTTCAATTCTCTAATTTTGGTGAATATTTTGGTCATTTTTGGTAGAAAGTGATATTTTCGACTTCTTGTTAAAAACTGTAAGTCCGATTGCTTTGATACTATACATATTGTTCATTTTCTGATGATGTCTTCAGTTCTTTAATTGAAATGTGCATTTCTAACAGCGGAGCTATCTCAGCCGATAGGCTGCTTGTTTTATTTAGTAGTGTTTTAGTAATAAACTACCCCCTATATGGATCCAAGACACGTGTGTGTGTGTGAGTGTGTGTGTGTGTGTGTGGTAACAACGTTGTGACAACTTAAATTTAACTTTCCACTGACTTGTGACGACAGGACCTATATTGTGATGAGCCACACTATCTTCATAATTTATGTTAATATTTAATCGAATTTAAGTCAAATTTGTGAAGCTTAGATTCACTAAAGGGGGAAGGTATAGTTCAATTTATGGCAGGACTCCAGAAGACGTACCTACACTTTATGAAATTTTTTTTTTAATTATGCTAATTTATTCATGACTTGGCAGTTTCTGTGCTCATGAATATTCATTAATTTGTGGGTCAATACATTTTAAAAGGGGCGATATATTATTTTTGGGGGAAGAGTTAGAAAGGGGGATCAGTAATCATTAGGGGGTCAATACAAAAGAAGGGAGTCATGTCGTGAGCAGCCATGCTCCTCGTGTCTGTTGCTGCACGTGACCTACAGCTGTCAACTGTGTTCGTTCTTCGTCGATTTCGACTGGCTTCCATGTGAGGTAATATTCTTGTCTTCTGTTTTTCTGACTTGAGTTCTTGAATCCGCTGTTTATGTTTTTAACGTCTTTCATGTCTTTTGTAGGAGTGCCCAATCCGTGATTAAAACTTGTGGTCTTCGAGTTCCCAGCGGACTGTCTTGTCCACTGTACCACGAGTGTCTTCACACAAGAGATAGGATTTAAGGTAGCAGAATAGTTTTTCACATTTTTTTTTGAAAATCACACGAATAGCTCCCTAAGGCATGCTACATACATGGGTGTATTTATTTTATTGAAAAAAAATATCTTGTACAAGTAAACTGATTTTTTTCTAGTGTGCAAACAAATGGCCAAGTTTTTGTTTTCCAGTGTACACCCAACTAGTGCATCTCATTAATATGCATGGTTTA